ATTATTCCACTGTATGGATACAGCACATGGTCTATCCATGCATCTGCTGATGAGACACTGGAGTTGTTTTCACCTTTTGGCGAAATAACACTGTTATTGCGAATAACACTGCATTTGTCTATAAATATCTGTTTGAATACCTATTTCAATTCTTTTGGGTGTACAACTAGCAACTAATTGCTGGGTAATTAATTACAACTAGCAATTAATTAATTGTATGGTAATTTTGTTTGACTTTTCGAAGAGCCACCAAACTTCCCCACAGCGCCTACCATTTTATATTCCATCAGCAGTGTATGACAGTTGCAATTTTTTTTTTTTATTAACAATCTTTGGTTCATCCAGACATTAGTCTCCCTCACCCCACTCTTGCAAATTTGCTTAAGCCATTTTAAAAATTACCCCTTGGTCTTTAGCAAATGACTTTTTAAAACTCAGAATGCAAGGGAGAATTTTCTCAAATTCTGTCAATTTTCTTAAAAACTGTCTTACTGCATATGGATTTTAACTCCCATCATTCTCGTCAACGAAGAATCAGCAATCTGATGGCTGGATGTGAATTCTACTTCCCACTCTCTAGCCGTGTGCTCCAGTTTCCTCCTCTGTAAACTGGGATCAGGAGTGCTTTAGTTTCTTACAGCTGCAGAACAAATTGCCACAAAGTCAGTGGCGTAAAACAACACACACATATTATCTTACAATTCTGGAGCTCTGACTTGGAAATGGGACTCATGGAGCTAAAATCGAGGTGTTAGCAGAGCTGGTTCTCACGGGAGACTGCAGGGCGAATTGGCTTTCTTGCCTTTTCCAGACTCTTAGCGGCTGCTTGCACTTCTTGGTTTATTGCTCCATCCTTCAGCTTCAAAGCCAGCAAAGCCGGAGGAGTCTTTCTCCTATTGCATTAACTCTGACACCCAAAATCCTGCCCCTTTCTTCTACTTTTAAGGGCTCTGTAGTTAGACTGGGACCACCTGAATAATCTGGGGTAAACTCCCATGTAAAGGTCAGCTCATTTGTGCCTTAGTTCCCCTTTGCCATGTAACCTAACACAGTCACAGGTCCCAGGGATGGGATGTGGACACCTCTGAGGGCCGTTACTCTGCCTGCCATGGGCAGTAATGCCCCACTCAGAAGGCTGTTTCAAGGATTATTTCTAAATTCTTTCCATTCCTCGAGATCTAGTCCTGAAGACAAACTCATTGAAAAGGTATCTCTACTCATTTATTTGACGAATACCTACTGAATTTTGAATTAATGAAACAAAGCATGTTTGTATTTTGGGGTTTTGGTGGTGGTTTTTGTTTGTTTGTTTTTCATACAGGGTCTTGCTCTGTTGCCCAGGCTGGAGTATAGTGGCGTGATCTCAGCTCACTGCAGCCTCCATCCCTTGGACTCAAGCAATCCTCCCACCTCAGCCTCCCCAATAGCTAGGACTACAGTCGAGTGCCACCATGCACTGGTTAATTTTTGTAATTTTTGTAGAGACAGGGTTTCACCATGCTGCTCATGCTGGCCTTGAACTTCTGAGCTCAAGCGATCCGGTTGACTTAGCCTCCCAAAGTCCTGGGATTATAGGCATGAGCCATTCTGCCCAGCCTGAAACAAAGCATGTTAAACACTTAGAGCCTAGCATCCAGCAAGCACTCAATCAAGACATCTATTATCACCGTATCATCTCTTCTAGAAATATGGTCCAAGCCAGAAGAATCTGCTTCTTAGTCTAAACTTTGTGTGACCATGCTCCTAAAATCCAGTGAAGCACTGCTTTCTTTTCCAGCTATGAAATCCAACATGACTTTCCTCCAGGCTCTGAGGTCTGGCCTGCCTTTTGTGTTAAGGAAGATTTGGAACTGAGAGCAGCTTCCCTCATGGCTTCCCCTACCTGCTAGGAGATGAAACACCAGCGGGGCCAGCCAAGAGCTCCTGTCGCGCTCTGGTCCTAGCAGCGGCACGGATGTTCCCTCCGCTCCATCTGGCCTGGTCTGCGATCTGTCGGGAACTGACCTTCTTAGCCTCCATCTGGCGCAGCGATATGCAGCATGACCCCAAAGCAGCCTCAGCTTGGCTTCTCCTCACTGTAAGCGCACACGAAGCTCTCTAGAAAGTCCCGATGCCAGCCTCACGAATTCAGATGCCAGACGGATGAACAGAGTTTTAACAGAAGGCAAACTCCATCCTCCATCACAACCATGTGCTTCTGCTGAAGGCGCTCACTTCCACTTTGCATGCCAGCTGGGATTTGTTGTCCAGTGTCACAGGAGGACCATGGAGCCGTCTCAGGCCCCCAAAGTTTATTTCTAAGCAGCTACTCAGATACTGATGATGAGGTATACTTGAGTTGTTTTGTTTTTTCAATGCCACAAGTATTGTCTTTTATTATATCTGGTTCTCAGTTTTAAAAGCATGTTTTCCCCTTTCTGTCTCAAAATGTGCTGGAAACCCTTGGTTAGGTCAGACCTGAGTCTCACAACAGAGACTCCCTGCTCATTTCTTGAGCTGCACTCTGGTCTTTGCTGAGAGAAGAAATACAAATCCTCCTCAGTACTGGGGCCTCTATCACACGGTCAGTAGATCTGGGGACATGGGAGCCTCCATGCCAGGGATTTCCGGGCCAGAAGAGCAAATGAGCCGCAGCTTTGGCCTGCAGACTGAGAGGCTGGGCTGTGCTCGTCAGGGGCCCCAAGGAGACTCAGGAGCTGAAGACAGCCCGATGCGCAGATGTGACTGTGACTGCACAGGCTGGGAGGGGGCCTGCAAGGTCCTTGGGGACTGTGCAGGTGCCGCACACTCACGTCCCTTTCCTGAGATGAAGGGATGGGAGACCCCGAAACCAGCATGCGGGGGTCCCTTCCTCTGAGATCACAACCAGGACCCCTCCTACTCATCATTTTAGGAACTGAGCTCACCCAGTGCCCCTGCTGCCTCCAGCAGGAGATTCTGCTAGTGCTGCCCAGCTGCTGTGGGGCAGAGCTTCCGTCTGCATTCCTCTCTCGAAAGGCTGGGCCACATCCTCCCATTCATTAGCTCTTGACTATAATTTCCTTCTGTCACCTTAAAATCGTATTTTCTTCCTGGCTTCCTCCCAGGCTCTCGCTTTCATCTATCTAAGGACAATCCCTCCTTGCTAATAAACCTCAAGTGGGAGGGCCAGCCCCTCCTGCCAGCCCTTTCATCTGCCCTTTGCAGAGGAAAACCAGCTCTCACCTGGGCATATGCCCAGCCATTGCCTCAGCCCACAGCCTGCAGTTCCCACATAGACCTTAGAGCTCTCTTTCCTGCCCTAAATTCCAATTCTCAGATGTTCAGATAAGCTAAGAATCTTCTTGGCTCCCCTTGAAAACTCCCCAGCAAAACTGCCAGCAATTGCGAGCTGTGTTATGTTCTCCTAGGCCAAGAGGGTGCTGGGGAAGGTGGCTCCGTAATGTTCTTCGGAAATCTCATTAATCCCAGTCTTTTATGAACTGCATCCTCTCACTGCCTAACCATGCTGGGGTAATTATCTGACTTTGTGTCCTGACAGCTAGCATCAGAGGTAGAACACTATTAGCTTGACCCATTCCTTTGGCTTTGTCATTGATTTCATTGAGAAATTAAAGGTCTTCTGCATTTATTTTATGGTTAAAGAGATCATGAACAAAAACACAAATGTAAATCAACGATAAATAATTATTCTAAAATGGCATGAGTAAGCTCTGTATTCTGTAAGTAAAAGCCTCAAAAGAAGACAACAGCCGTGGTTAAATAAAGCACAACAATTTGTAAGTATCAGCGAAAATAAGGGTGAGAGAAAGAAAAATTCAGAATGTTCGATTTCACAAATAACAACTCGGTAAATTTAAACTAAAAGCACTGTACTTAAAATATGAACATATACTGACGATGTAAAAATCATTTGGAAAGCTCAGTTTTGCTATTCTGAAACCACTGCAATTGTTATGAAATAATGTTCCCTGTCCTTATAAGGCTTTAAAAACAGGCATAAACTTCAAGACAACAAGCCTGTAAAAACTGTAATTGTTGTGTGTTATCATACAGGCTGTGCAGGGTATTTTACACACCGGCTTACAGTCATGCTGGGCCTTAATGAGTCTAACTAAAAGACTTTTTAGCAATTTTCATTTTGTACGGATTAGAGAGTATTAGTGGGGCCCATATGGTCTTCTATAAATTAGAAGATCAAACGAGAGAGTCTCTGCAGCCGGACCTCAGCTCTGGATGGCGTCTCTAATTCACCTATTCAAGTCAGTGGGGAGCAACTGCCCCCAAGGGTTACAGAGCATCAGGGACCTCAGAGGTCTTGGACTCTGTCCCCACGTACCTCTGGGGCTGAGATGAATGGACTTGGCTATTCAATCATGAGCATGCTGGCACTGGAGATTCTGATCTACCTGTTGTCTGGAAGGTTTTAATATCACGGTTATACAAATTTCAAACAGTTTTATTTAATGGTGCTCCCAAACGAGCAACTGAAGAGCTGGAGAAACACATAATCCAGATGTTGGCAGGCCCAGGAATCGGATCAGCACCGAGGAAGAATCTGCCAGTGAAGTCCTGATTCTACTCTCCTAAAGAGAGTCAAAGCCAGGACCCAACTAAGTTCAGGCGCAGACCTGGGAGGGCATTTATTGTCTAGAGCACACAGTGGTGAAAAACAAACAGAAAAACAAACAAGAACCCCTCCACACAAAAAAAAAAACTCAACTGTCTTTCTGTTCAAAGGTTTCTATAAAAGTCCTTTCGTGTGCTCTGAAAAACTCAGTTTGTTTCTGATCTAAATATCTCACTTCACCTTAGGGAGCATTCATTATTCTCTACAGATTTCCTTTTGGTGATTCTGGTGTGAGTGGTGTGGAAACCGTCGGGGAAGGTTCCATGAGATCCTGCCCATCTTAGAAGTGTGGGCTTGGCTTTGCTGAGTTTTGGCCACTAAAGCTGTCCCCTCCTCTCGTCCCTGTGCCCACCCGCTGGCACTGACGGCGGCTTCAGTGTGAGTATAGTACCTGCCGTTCCTGGTATCGTGTTGCCGCATGTTCTTGATAAAATGGATCTTCTTAAAATTCTTTGGTCTGGGCGAACCTGAGAGAGTTCGACATCTGAAAAATAAAGTCATTTCAAAAACACAGTCAGTTGCCTACTGGACAGATGAGACATCTCCACACAAAGACAGGAAGGACCAGACAAATGGCTTGAGTCACCCCAGAGCAGGCTGAAGTCTTCGGGGATAATGAAAACAATGCAGCTGGAAGCAAGGAAGCTTAAAAAAATAAAACAAAAACCCAATGACAGACAACTTCCTTGATAATACTGATATTATTTTATATGGGTCTCTAAAAAGCCAGCAAATCAAGACTATTGTCCCCTGCATTAAAAAAAAAACAAAACAAAACAAAAAAAAACAAACAAAGTTCCAAAACACTTTTTTTTTTTGCTATCTTAAAAAGAATCCTCCCAGGCCAGGCGCAGTGGCTTATGCCTGTAATACTAGTACTTTGGGAGGTCGAAGCGGGTGGATCACCTGAGGTCAGGAGTTCGAGACCCGCCTGGCCAACATGGCGAAATCTTGTCTCTACTAAAAATACAAAAATTGGCCAGGCGTGGTGTTGTGTATGCCTGTAATCCAGCTACTCGGGAGGCTGAGAAAGGAGAATCACTTGAATCTGGGAGGTGGAAGTTGCAGTGAGCCGAGATTTATCACTGCCCTACAGCCTGCACAATGGGAGAGAGACGCCATCTCAAAAAAAAAAAAAAAAAAAGGAATCCGCTCATATCAACACAGGTAAAGGGAAGCAAAACTGTACATTTAAAGGATTTAAAGGGGGTAAGAAAACACTGGAAAATTCAGTTCAAAAACAAGCCTGAATCACTTTTCTTCTATAACAAGATTTTGGCCTGAATTACCTGGACATCTGCCTCAAGTTTCAACTTGACCTGCTATGCCTGGGAAGTCACAAATTTACACTGAATGAAAAAGCAGAGACCTGGCTAGTTGCTGTTTTGTTTTGTTTTTTTTTATAAGGTAAATTTTAAATAAACATTTGTTGAACTAAAATGGCTTGGATTCAAGTTTTTTTTAATTTTTATTTTGCTAGAGTATTCAACATTTGCCTGTACTATAGGACTGGCAGAACGGACCACAGGCCAAGGAGATCTTATTTGTGTGTAGTGTTTTCACCCGGCAAATTCTAAGTTACAAAACCACAATCACAATGACAGAAAAGCAAAATGTTCAACAAACAAGAGTGTCATGTTTATTCTAGACAAAAGGGGCTGTGACTTTTCGATTTTGGGTTTCGCTACCAAAAACTTTTCTGACCTGGGTCACAGAAGTCAGTTCCTGCCATGGGACATGGGTGTCTGTGACCGGATTCTTGACTCTAAAGAAAGATTCTGGGCCAGGCGTGGTCGCTCACTTAAATGCAGCACTTTGGGAGCCCAAGGTGGGCACATCAACTAAAGTCAGGGGTTCGAAACCAGCCTGGCCAACATGATAAAATCCCGTCTCTACTAAAAATACAAAAATTAGCCTGGCATGGTAACAGGTGCTTGTAATCTCAGCTTATCTGGAGGCTGAGACAGGAGAATCACTTGAACTTGGGAGGCAGAGGTTGCAGTGAGCCGAGACTGCAGCACAGCACTCCAGCCTGGGCGACAAAGTAAGATTCTGTTTAAAAAAAAAAAAAAGGAGGTCCTTTTAAAGGTTTGTAGACCCCTACTTGAAGGCATTTAGTAGATGCCTACTGTGGCCTTCAGGAAGGTTAAAGTGGGGATGGCACTGACACTCTCCGTCCCAACTCCAGGCCTCCAAACCCAGATTTTTTTTTTTAAAATAAAGACAAGGTCTTGCTCTGTTGCCCAGGCTGGAATGCAGTGGTGCCTCCAGAGCTCACTGCAGCCTCAAACTCCTGGGCTCAAGCAATCCTCCCACCTCAGCCTCCCAAAGTGCTGGGGTTATAGGCATGAGCCACTGTGCCTGGCCCACTAAACACAGATTTAATTGGCTCAAGGTTCAAGGAGACAGAGCCTCACTCTGCCTTTTGTTCTCTGGGAGCAGATCCAGAACCCCAAGCGGCCTCATTTCTTCCTCCAGAATGACTGCTCGAATCTGAGGGCCACTCAAAAGTTCCCACCTGTCATACACACACAAAGAAGGTTCTTGAAACATGGCGTTACTGTTAAGAGGAGAATCCCTGAAAGCATGAAGTGGTTTCTGGAAGCACCCTCATACCGCTTCCCCCGGCTTCCTTTCCCAGGAGCCGAGCTTCCTGGGCTAGCCAATCTGAGGGCAGCAGGCCAAGAGCTAGACAGCGCGCGGGTTCAGGCAGCTCGCAGATCCTGCCACCTCAGCAAACCCGGGCGCCTTCCTCCCACCTCCCAGCTGCAGGAAGCTGGGACCGACGCCAGCACAGAGGAGGGACGGCCTGAGCTGCTCCCTGAAAGAGGGGCCCTGGATTCCTTGGTCTTCTGCTGGAAGTAGAAATCCACAAAAGGGCCACAGGTGGCTGTCTGCGCCAGCAAAGGAAGAAAGTGGGGCTGTGATCACTTTAACAGCTGTGGCCACCCGCATCCATCCACCCAGACAGACTGGAAAACCAGGGCAGGTGCCGATGCCAGCCACATTTGCTACAAACAAACAGAGGTTTTTCTTGATACCTAGTAGAGATGGCTTAACTCTTTATTTTTGGACATTAGGTAACCACCAGGTAGGTGCAAAATTCCTCAGTCCAAGTCCTCTCATGATGCATGCTCAGTTCTTGGAGCTCCAGGTAGATACAGGAAACCCACTAACAAACTATGATGCTAAAGAAAAGTAAGACTTCTAACAGGGTAACTTAACAAAGATCTTTTATTTCCATAGCAGCACCCAATTCTAACTGCACATACACCTTACTCATTTAGCCCTTCATTCAGCAAGTTGTTTGTTGTCTTGCTTTTTTTTCTTTCTCTTTTAAGCATTCAACCAAATCACCAGGGAACCTAAGAAATGCTTTAAGAGACTTGTGTTGGCAACAATTGCCAAGGAACTGGAATACTGGGTGCTCAGGCTGCAGCAGGTTAAGCAAAGAATGAATTAATTTCAAAGCTGCCTGCAACAGCATGTAAACATCCATTTAAAAACATACATTTTAAGTGATGCAAAATTAAATTAGCATAGAATTAAATTAAAAACTAATTTAATGAAAGATTAGCTCTTTCTTGTTAGCACTGATTACAGGATATACTCAATTATGCAAAAGGTCTAATAGATGCCTTGGAGCCATTTGTTCTTCTGCTGAGCTTAAAAGCAAGCTGGGTTAATAGCCTTCTACCCCCACAGTTCCCAAAATACTTCAGCATCATTATTGGTGTTATCATTCAACAGACCAGAGAAGCCTTCAGCGATCAGCCAACTGGCCTTCCCATTTTATAGATGGGAAAACTGAGGGCCCAGAGACACTAAGTGAATTTCCAATGGTACATACCCACTTAGAGTCAGGCCAAGAACTCACGTTCCCAGACTCCAAAACTAATGTCCCTTCTTCTACACTATGCTAATATAACTCCCAGGAACAAGTGAATTTCTAAGTAAAAATGAGAACAGTTACATTTCTTTAAGTTCTTTTTTTTTTGAGACAGAGTCTCTCTCTGTTGCCCAAGCTGGAATGCAGTGGCAAAATCTCGGCTCACTGCAACTTCTGCCTCCCAGGTTCAAGTGATTCTCCTGCTTCAGCCTCCTGAGTAGCTGGGAATACAGGCACATGCCACCATGCCCAGCTAATTTTTGTATTTTTAGTAGAGACAGGGTTTCACCATGTTGGTAAGGCTGGTCTCGAACTCCTGGCCTCATGATCTGCCCTCCTCAGCCTCCCAAAGTGCTGGGATTACAAGCGTGAGCCACTGTGACAGGTCCAATTCTCTCTTTTTTTTTTAAGTTTTCTTTTTTAAGAAACTTCAGGCTAGAGTTCAGTGTTGAGCATAGCTCACTTAAGTCTCAAACTCCTGGGATCAAGTGATCCTCTTGCCTCAGCTTCCTGAGTAGCTGGAACTACAGGTGTACATCTATGTGCCTGGTTAATTTCTTTTGTGGAGATGGGATCTCACTACATTGCCCAGGATGCTCTCAAACTCCTAAGCTCAAGCGACCCTTCTGTCTCAACCTCTCAAAGTGCTGGGATTACAGGTGTGAGCCACTGTGTTCAGCCAATATAAGAACCTTATTTGTGTATTTATGTGCTGATTGATTGTAGAAATGGGTATCTCCCTACCTTGCCCGGGCTGGTCTTTAACTCCTGGACTAAGTGATCCTCCTACCTCCACCTCCCCAAGTGCTAGGATTATAGATGTGAGCCAATGCACCCAGCTGAGGACGTTTTTTAAATTAAAAAAAAAAGGGGCCGGGAGCAGTGCCTGTAATCCCAGCACTTGGGGAGGCCGAGGCAGGGGGATGACGAGGTCAGGAGTTTGAGACCAGCCTGACCAACATGATGAAACCCTGTCTTTACTAAATATGAAATTAGCTGGGCTTAGTGGTGTGCGCCTGTAATCCCAGCTACTCAGGAGGCTGAGGCAGGAGAATTGCTTGAACCAGGAGGCAGAAGTTGCAGTGAGCCAAGATCGTGTCACTGCACTCCAGCCTGGGTGACAGAGTAAGACTCCGCCTCAAAACAAAACAAAAAAAGGTCCCTTCATGGAATAAACACGGACCTTGATTTCTAAAACTCTCTTGATTTCTGACTTATTCTTAAAATTTTATAGTAACAAGATTTGAGGTTCAGTGCAGTATTCTGTGAGAGCCGGTGGAAGTCACAGTTGAGGCCGACATGCACTTTTACTGCACTCATTTGTGCCACCACAAGGCTGAGGACCAGTCTGGGTGGATTCCGACAAGGGCACAGGGTGACAGCGTACCAACCAGGAACACAGAGCCCGCCCAGGTCCTCCTCCGGCCTCTCCTCGCCACCTCGAGACTCAAGGACAGCGCATCCCGAAGCTCGACAGCCCTGCCTGGGAATTCCTGAAGAGAGAAGAGCGCTTCCTAGCCTATACCCTGAGTCTCCTGGCTTCCTTCGGCTCACAGTGACCACGCTATTCCAAGGACATGGCTTCTAGCAGCCTCTTGAAACTCCAGGGGATTCTCAACATTATTCATGGATTTTCCCGTTTGTGGCAGGAATGAGAGAACCTTGGTCAGATGGCGATGTTACTCACTCTGACACCAAAGCCATTCAGTGCGCCTGCGAACACCTCTCCTCCACGCTCACTGAGTTTGTGGACCAAGGCCAAGCTCCCTCATTTGACTTTCAATGTAGCTTTCTGTCTGACTCCTGCAGGCAAATGGGCTTCTCCCCACTTCACTGCTCCTCACAGAGTAACACTTGTGCCCAGGCCACGTTTGCCATACAGCCACATACCACGCATCCTAAGAGGCTCCTGGAGGTTACCCACACTTTGAAAAAGACTCCAAAAGTGGAGATCAGACTGTTTGGGTCTGACTTTCTCTTTAAGAGGATGTCAGCGACAAAATTCACAGTTGCCGAACACCTCCCATCTGACCCCAGGTTGTCTGTGCTCACTCTGTCCTCCACTCTTCGTGCAGGCCAAGCCTATGGACATGAGTTCTGGCCTGGGAGTGAAGCTCCAGGTAGGGAACGAGCCAGCTCCAGGGTGAGGATCTCCCCCACAGCAGGACCCTGCCAGGCTCAGAGGGAGGAGCAAGGCACTCCCAAGTCCTGGCCTGGCCAAGGCTCACAGGGTGCAGATGCAGGTTCAAGGAGGAGCGGATGCAAGTCCACAGGAGCTCACATGCTCCCAAGGCCCTCCCTGCTGCCGCCTGCCCTGCGGTCCCTGGGAAGCCCCTGCGCCCCGTCTTCCTGGCTCACTCCCACACGCTGCCCCACACAGCTCAGGGCTGCAGTGAGGATGGAAGCGGGTGCAGTACCTGAGTGCGCGCTCCTCCACATGGGCCTGGCTAGGTTAGAGGAGGGGAACCTGCCAGTCACTAGCACAGCACAGCTCAGCAATTGCTGTCACCCAAAAAGACAGCTTGCAAGCACTTTTCTAATCCCGAGGGAGAAAGAAACAGAAACTTTCAGATCCAGAGAGCACTCACAACTATCCTAATTGGGCTTCCAGCAACTAGCCAGGGAGCGACATTGTGGTCACCTCCTGAGGAATTCTGGTTGCCCCTCCTGCTGAGAATGAAGTCCAGGACTGTACCTACCGTGTGACTGCACCTGGAGGACAGGCTGGGACAAAGCCAGGCTCTTCTTCCATTAAGCAGCAGTTTACAAAATGAAGAGGAGTCATGGAAAGAAAAACACCCAGATCTCCACGCAAACTAGGCTGTTCCAATTGTAACTGGACTTAACATTGTCTTGGTCTAACGGCCCCCAGAGGTGGGCTGGGCACTGGGAGATGTCCCATAGTCCCTGGGATTCAGATGGTTACTTTTAGATTTAATTCTATAGATCAAGAACTGAAAAAACCAAAATTAATCTCTGGATATCACTGTGTACTGTTTACATATACATAAATGAAACAGAAAACTTACCTCCGGAGAGGGGCATTCTCCTCAATATCTTCCAGGGTTTCTAAGGAAGATCTCTGAGAGATGAGGCGCCGTCTGCAGAGAGAAGGAAAAAATCTGGGCGTTAAAACTGCGTTGCAGAACTCATCAGACATTTCTGTAAATCTAAAACTGCCATTTAAAAAAAGATCAGATAAAGGCTGTCTCTAAGAGCCTGCCACGTTCCCACCCGGCATGCCAGGCCCATCTTGCTGGCTGAATTCTGAGCATTCTCCCTGGTTAGAGGACCTCTTTGTGGTGATTAAGGAAGTGACTGGTCCTTTTGAGGCTGCCATTTCCCCAAGGACACACACACAGACGAGACAAGGGGCCTCTTGTAATAATATAGAATAACTCTGGCGCTGTGTGCAGCTTTTCTAAAGCATTAGCTAATACTGTTAAGTATCCCGATTTGAACCTGGTAACTGATAAATATGAAATCTAAAACCCTATTAAAAACAACTTCAAAGTCATTAGGATGCAATAAAAAGGTTATGCTCCTTGGATGGGCATGATTTTAAAAGCAACTAGAAACAAGAAAGAAATTATTCCTTTGGGAGAATTTCTCATACGGGTAGAGAGAATAAATACGTGGCATGACTATGCAAAACATTAACTCTTCCGGGCTGCTAAGGAATTGCAAACCACCTGCTAAAACCTCCTCAATCTACCAGTTTCTTTCGTCAGGCTGAAATAAAAACAGGTCCTAGTTAACTAAGAATATCAGGTACAAGGAGCAGGGTAAGGTGGTGGTAACTTTAAATAAATCAACTTGAACAAAGACCATCATTTGATAGTAAATGATTTGGTGGAGAGGGGGTGGATAGGAAAAGTTTGACTGGGTTGTTCCTTAAAACAGAACTAAAAATATGAAGATAAGTCTATTTTTTATTACATTTGGCAAAATATAGCCTAAGAACACGCAGTCATAACCATGTTCTAATTTGCCCCAACGAACAAAGAATGATGCTTTTAATTCTATGTGTACTTCTTCTGACCAACTGCTCTGATACCTTTGGCTTGTTTTTGCTGTTATAAGACAATCAGGAAGGTCAATTTTGTAGCAAACTATTCAACAGCTTCATCAATTTTCCACCTTTCTTAATTTTTTGATACTCAAACCCTTTAAAAGAAAAATCCTCACCATACAGCCTCCTTGTCTCTTCTCCAACTGTAAAACAGGAGAACACTCGTAGCTCCTCACTCGTGTGAACCAAGCACACATCTCCCTCTGTCTTCATGACATACCGGACTTTCTACAGGAGCTGTGGTTCACTCTGCAATTACTAACAGTGACTTTCCATTTCTATAATATTGCCAGATTCCCAGGGGTCAGCCAGAGCTGTGGAGGAGACACGGGTCTTACTGAGAGTGGTGCAGAGTGAGGAGCCGAATTTACAGGTAGCCAATTTGTGAGTAGACAGGACCTTCCGTGCAACACTGAAACTCAGGGGACGGAGCTCACCTACACCCGTGACAGCACCTTCAGCTGGAGCTCTGAAGTGTCTATGCCATGGGTTGTGGCACAGCCTCTGAAATCCCAGTTAATCCTAGGAAAGCAGGCAGGTGAGCAGTGGGCCCAGCCTCTCTCCAGGTGCTGAGTCCCAGGTTGGACTGGGGCACTCACACCTGCCAACTGCAGATCTCGGCAGCAGAAACCCTATGCTACCCATTCAAAGGGTGATGTAATTCTACACAGGAGAATGCCGAGGGGCCAGGGTCAGCCACTCAAATTGCACTCTTGGGTTCCAAAGGTTTTGGGGCCTGAGAAAGCTCCTTAATCCGGCCAGAAACAGTGGCTCATGCCTGTAATCCCAGCACTTTGGGAGGCAGAGGCTAGCAGACCACCTGAGGTCAGGAGTTCGAGATCAGCTGAGCCAACATGGTGAACCCCATCTCTACTGAAAATACAAAATTAGCCAGGTGTGGTGGTGCATGCCTATAATCCCAGCTACTCGGGAGGCTGAGGCAGGAGAATCGTTTGAACCCAGGAGGCACAGGTTGCAGTGAGCTAAGATCAAGCCATTGCATTCCAGCTTGGGCAACAAGAGCAAAACTCTATCTCAAAAAAAAAAGAAAAAAAGCTCCTTAATCCTTGAGCCTCAGTTTCTTCATCTATGAAACAGCAATTAACCAAGAAAGGGGCACGTGTAAAGTCCCAGAATGGCAGCTACTGGCTTTTGATTGACACTCCAGCTTCCTTCCCTGGGTGGGGCTGCACCCTTACCTGCACCCCAGCTCAGCTAACCAGGAGTAGGCTGAGTATCTCAGCTCTGGCCCCAACTCAAGGCCCAGCCAGTGGCAGGGTCATTCCAAAATACCTTGCACCTGAGCCTACCAGAGACAAGTACGTGTTCCTTCCACACCTATATCCGCTTCTAAACACAACTAACTCTGCACATGTACACAATGGAGTGCATCAAGAAGCACAAGTCATACTTAACTGATGTGTTGCCCACCTATAAAATTAGTGCCCCCCCCCCAACCGGGCATGGTGACTCACGCCTGTAATCCCAGCACTTTGGGAGGCCGGGGCGGGCGGATCATGAGGTCAGGAGCTTGAAACCATCCTGCCCAACATGGTGAAACCCCGCCTCTACTAAAAATACAAAATTAGCTGTGTGTGGTGGCACAGGCCTGTAATCCCAGTTACTTGGGAGGCTGAGGGGGGATAATCGCATGAACCCGGGAGGCGGAGTTGCAGTGAGCCAAGATCTCACCACTGCACTCCAGCCTCAGTGACAGAGCGAGACTCTGTCTCAAAAAATTAAATAAATAAAATTAGTGTCCCCTAGGCCTCCCTGCACTGCTCTCTGGTCTCCCTACAGCCAGAAGTCAGTGATTAAAATATTTACTCTGTTTATCTCCACATGATGTTCTGAGCTTTTAAATCTAAAGTAAAACATTCGAGTATTTACTTAAATTAAGCCTGCATATCTAAATTGTCATTAGAGATAACTCCTGCAGGCAGAAATAAATGTATAGGCTTCGGATCCTGAGAAACTCTACACACTCTGTCACACTTTGAGCCTTTCTTTGTAGAACAGCATTTTCTGGTGACCAGTAAATAAGCAATTGATGTTTTGTTCAGTCTGCACCCAGGCAACTGAGGCGATCGTGCAGGGGAAGGGCTGAAGGCTACCCTTCTTCAGGTACCCTAAGGAGACCCAGGGAAGCCCTGGGTGAGCTCTTCAGGCACAGATGCCACCCAGGCTCCGGCAGAGCCCAGAGGCCAGCCAGGCAGGTTCGCCTCTTCACGTATCTACCCCCGCCCACTCAACAACGTGACAGCCAACCGTGTCGGGAATACACAGCTGAACCAGTCTTGCCTCCTGTCCTCGGAGGCTCAGAGTCATGTGGGGATCCATGGGACGACCGCCAAGGAGCCCCATTAACAATCCCTGAAGCCCCCACATCCTTCGGGGCTGCGGCGTGGTGAACACTCCAGCTGAGTCCCACAGTGACCACGGAAGGCCCTGCCCGGAAGCACAAACTCCTCCAACACCCAGATCAGGGTGTTTTGCCCTAGAAAATCAGGCCCACCCACAAAAGCACACGACCTAAACAGGCCCATCCACAAAAGCACACGACTCAAAAAGCCCTAGCCAGCTCTTCCTGCACCAGAAACAAGATGATAACCAAATGAGAATATATCTTTCTTTACAGTTATAATGTTTTTTTAAAAAAGCCAGCACACATTTGATAATTCCCTCCAGGTGCTGAACTGGTGTGAATGCACACACATATTACAGATTAAATGTCTATGTCCCCTCAAAATTCACATGTTGAAATCACAACCCCCACTGTAATGGTATGAGGAGGAGAGGTCCATGGGAAGTGATCTGCCATAAGGGTGGGGCCCTCATGAATGGGATTAGTGCCCTTGTAAAGGGGACCCCAGAGAGCTCTCTAACTCCCTTTCTGCCATGCAAGGACAACAGAAATTGGTCATCTGTAACTGGAAAAGCCCTCATCTGACCCCAACCATGCTCACATCCAGATCATGATCTTCTAGACTTTAGACCTGTGAGAAAATACATTTCTGTTTTTTTGTTTGTTTGTTTGTTTGTTTGAGACAGAGTCTTGCTCTGTCTCCCAGGATAGAGTGCAGTGGCCTGATCTTGGTTCACTGCAACCTCTGCCTCCCAGGCTCAAGCAATTCTTGTGTCTCAGCCTCCCGAGTAGCTGGAACTACAGGTGTGTGCCACCATGCTTGGCTAATTTTTGTATTTTTAGTAGAGACAGGGTTTCGCCTTGTTGGCCAGGCTGGTCTCAAACTGCTGGTCTCAAGTGATCCACCTGCCTTGGCCTCCCAAAATGCTGGGATTATAGGCGTGAGCCACCAGGCCCAACAGAGAAATACATTTCTATTGTTTATAAGCCATCCAATCTTTGGTACTTTGTTATAGCAGTCCAAACTCAGACAGACAGACAAACAGACAGACAGACACACACACACACACACACACACACACACAGACACACACACACACCTGCAGGTATGCAGCATACACATGGGCACTTCTGATCAGGATTCCTTAAAGGGGAAAAAATCCACAGCCCAAATGCCCACCTGTTCCTTTAACTTCAGCAGATGTACTTCCCTTCTTTGTGAATGTAACCAACCAGTATATTCTAAGACAGAGATGAGAACTTAGAACTACCACCAGTCACTGTAAAGAAACCATCCTATGGTACCACCAAACAGCAAAGGATGCCTGCCCTTCCAGTCTAAGATGAGGACCTGTTCCCTGCCTCGAGGGTGGCCTGTGAACTAGTATTGTCACTCGGCGCGCTCATCTCTGCCCACGCCACCTTGCCAGATCCTCCCAGGCATGTAGTAGTGCCTTCTCCCTCACCTTCTATCCCCAGAAAGCCTGCAATAAACAAAGCCTCAGGGCAGGTGGCCAATCTTAACCAGCCACTTTTCACTCTGCAATTCCCCTCCCAAACTAAGTCTATTACTATGCAAACTCATCATTATACAGTTAACAAGCAGAGATCTTTGCATAATTTAATGACTGACAAAGAATACTTAGCCTTGGACAAAAATAGCAGGCTACCTTACTGACCAAGCAGACATGCAGTAAGATATTGGCAGGACTCAAAGCAAAAGTATTCCGCACTGACATCATCAGATGGAAGTGTCTATGTCTAGCCTCCAGACTGAACGTACACTCAGGGCTTCCCGACTTGTCTGACAGTTACAAGTTAGATCCTTCCACACTGGCCACACTTTGGAGGCCAATGCAGTTCATGCTTAATGCTCATGCGTAACGTAGTG